ATATCAGCACTATTGATATTTATCAAAAAGTGTTTTTACCTAAAACTTCATTCAACCAATTTAGTTCCTTAATGAATGCTTTATAGAACATCTTAAACTATTTTCTTTTTGCTTAAATTCTTATTTCCTGAATTTTCAATCAGCTCAATTGATTTCCATGTAAATTTTATCTTAAAGACTTGGTTTAGGGGGGTTGGGGTTGTAGCTTAGAGTTAGAGCTCTTGCCTAGTATGCGTGAGGCACTGGGTTTGATCCTCAGCACCACATAAATATAAAAGATATTAAAAAAAAGATTTGGTTTAGGGGCTGGCCCAGTGGTAGAGCACTTGCCTAGCATGTGTGAAGCACTGGGTTCAATTCTCAGCACCACATATAAATAAATAAAAATAAAGGGTCCATCACCAACTAAAAAAATATATTTAAAAAAAGACTTGGTTCACTGAGGTTAATGGTTCTTCATTCATAAGAACACCCATGAATTTACCACTCAAATGATGAAATTTAAGAACTTTACAAAGGCTCAAGAAGATCTTTACCAATTTCCTACCTACTATCTTTGTTGAACCACCACGCAAAGAAAAGACCACCGACTCCAATTTTAAATCAAATTAAAGCAAGCTTGTATTGTGTACACAAAGAAAGCTGGTCACCAGTGACTGTCTCTCCCTAACCCGGGCTACAGATCAGCACTTCAACTCTCCAGGAACAAGGTTTTATAGAACAAAAAGTTGCAAAGAGGGAGTGTCTTCAGAACTCACAGATAACAGGATTCTGACAAGCATAATACAAAGGCAGATAGTAGGTTAATGATCTACATGGCATGACATTTCAAGGTAGGGAGTAAATTCAGATTCCAACATCAGAATTTATGAGGCGCTGCTGAGGTTTCAGGGAGGGTTATTATCTGGTCAAGGAGAGCCTGGCATGGGCGAGTTCAGAGAATGGACAGGAATTCCAAACAAGTTTGGAAATCTCAGTAATTTATAGTAAAACAGAAATTAACTTTTCATGACTTTGTGATGAGATGGCTCCCAATCTTAAAATGGAATTAGCCTGGGTTCGTCAATCTTGAGTTTTGTTTCTTTCCTGTGCTTTTTTCTTTTCTTTGTCCTTTGATACCTATGTACGTGTCTGTAAACAATGGGTTTAATTTTGCTTATGTTAAAACATAGGATCAGGGCTGGGGCTATAGCTCAGTGGTAGAGCACTTGTCTTGCATGTTTGAGGCACTGGGTTCGATCCTCAGCACCACATAAAAATAAATGAATAAAAGAAAGGTATTGTATCCAACTACAACTAAATATTTTTTAAAATAAAGGTATTGTGTCCATCTACAACCCAAAAGATATTTTTTTAAAAAAAATATACAATCATACATGTGTACTTTCATGCCTGCCTTCTTTCCTCTAAATGTACACTTCTGTGATTTGTACTGATTGAAATCTGTAGCTTTAGATTGTTTCACTCCTATGCTATATAATATTCCATAACATAACCATGTCACAATTTATTATCCATCCTTTATTGATGAAGTTTGGGTTGATTTCTTTTGGGGGAGAGGTCTTTTTTTAATTTGTTCTTTTTAGATATACATGACAGTAGAGTGTTTTTTGACATACATACATGGAGTATAACATTCAAATTAGGATCCCATTCTTGTGGCTGTATATGACGTGGTCATGTATACCTATATGAACACAGTAGAGGAAAGTCCAAGTCATTCTACTCTTTCCTATTCCCATCCTCCCTCTCTTCCCTTCATTCCCCTTTGTCTTTTCCAATGAACTTCTATTCTCACCACCACCACCACCTTATTGTATGTTAGCATCTGCATATCAGAGAGAATTCAACCTTCGTTTTTTGGGGATTGGCTTATTTCACTTGGCATGATAGTATTCAGTTCCATTTATATACTGGCAAATGCCATAATTTCATTCTTCTTTATGACATAACATTTCACTGTGTATATGTATATCTGTAATAACATTTTCTTTATCCATTTATTTGTTGAAGGGCACCTAGTTTGGTTTCATAGCTTGGTTATTGTGAATTAAGCTACTATAAACATTGATATGGTTGTTTCACTATAATATGCTGATTTTAAGTCCTCTGGGTGTATACCGAGGATTGGGATAACTGGGTCAAATGGTGGTTCTTTTCCAAGTTTTCTGAGGAATCTCCATACTGCTCTCCTTAGCAATTGCACCAATTTGCAGTCCCACAGCAATGTATGAGCGTACCTTTACCCACATCCTCACCAACATTTATTGTTTGTGTTCTTGATAATTGCCATTCTGACTGGATAGAGTAAGATGAAATCTCAGTGTAGCTTTAGTTTGCATTTCTCTAATTTCTAGAGATGTTGAACATTTTTCCATATATTTATTGATCATTCATATTTCTTCTTCTGTGAAGTACCTGTTCAGTTCTTTTGCCCACTTATTGATTGGGTTTATTTGGGGTTTTTTGTTTTGTCTTGGTTTTGGTTTTTCTTGGTGTTAAGTTTTCAGAGTTCTTTATATGCCCTGGAGATTAATGCTGTATCTGAGGTGCAGGTGGCAAAGATTTTCTCCTGTTCTGTAGGCTCTCTCTTCACATTCTTGATTGTTTCCTTTGTTGTGAAGAAGGTTTTTAGTTTGATAGCATCCAATTTATTGATTATTATTTTTACTTCTTGTGCTTAAGGGGTCTTATTGAGGAATCCGGTTCCTAAGAGAACATGATGGAGAATTTGGCTTACTTTTTCTTCTAGTAGGTACAGGGTCTCTGGTCTAACTCCTAGATCCTTAATCCACCTTGAGTTGAGTTTTGTGCAGCCTGAGAGATAGGAGTTTAATTTCATTTTGCTACATATGGATTTCTAGTTTTCCCAGCACCATTTATTGAAGAGGCTATCTTTTTTCCAATGTATGTTATTGGCACCTTTGTCTAGTATGAGATAACTGAATATATGGGTTTATCTCTGTGTCTTCTATTCTGTTCCATTGATTTTCATGTCTGCTTTTGTGCCAATACAATGCTTTTTTTGTTACTATAACTCTGTAGTATAGTTTAAGGTCTGGTATTGTGATGCCTCCTGCTTCACTTTTCTCACTAAGGATTGTTTTAGCTATTCTGGTCCTCTTATTTTTCCAAATGAATTTCATGACTGCTTTTTCTATTTATGAAGAATTTCATTGGAATTTTAATTGGAATTGCATTAAATCTGTAGAGTATTTTTGCTAGTATGGCCATTTTGACAATGTTAATTCTGCCTATCCAAGTACATCGGAAATCTTTTTATCTTCTAAGGTCTTCTTTAATTTCTTTCTTTAGTGTTCTATAGTTTTTATTGTAGAGGTATTTCACCTCTTTTGTTAGATTCATTCCCAATTTTTTTGAGGCTATTGTGAATGGGATAGTTTTTCTAATTTCTCTTTCAGCTGATTCATCATTGGTATATAGGAATGCAATTGATTTATGTGTGTTAATTTTGTATCCTGCTACTTTGCTGAATTTGTTTATGAGTTCTAGAAGCTTTCTGGTGGAGTTTTTTTGGGTCTTCTAAATATAGAATAGTGTCAACATCAAATATGGATAGTTTGAGCTCTTCTTTCCTATTCATATCCCTTCAATTTTTTTTTCTTTTTTTGGTCTAATTGCTCTGGTTAGAGTTTCAAGGACAATATAGAGTAGAAGTGGTAAAAGAGGGCATCTCTGTCTTGTTCCAGTTTTCAGAGGTAATTCTTTCAATTTTTCTCCATTTAAAATGATGTTGGCCTTTGGTTTAGCATATGTAGCTTTTACAGTGTTGAGGTATATTCCTACTACCCCTAGTTTTTCTAGTGTTTTGAGCATGAATGAATACTGAACTTTGTCAAATGCTTTTTCTGCATCCATTGAGATAATCATGATTCTTGTCTCTAGTCTATTGATATGAATTATGCTCATTGATTTCTATATGTTAAACCAAACTTGTATCCCTAGGATGAACCCCACTGGATCATGGTGCAATATCTTCTTATGTTTTTGTAGGTGATTTGTCAGTAATTTATTAATAATTTTTGCATCTATGCTTATCAGGGATATTGGTTTGAAGTTTTCTTTCCTCAATGTGTCTTTGTCTAGTTTTGGTATCAGGGTGATACTATCTTCATAGAATGAGTTTGGGAAGGATTGCCTCCTCTTCTATTTCATGGAATAATTTGAGGAGTATTGGTGTTAGTTCTTCTTTGAAAGTCCTGTAGAACTCAATTGAGAATCCATCTGGTCCTAGGATTTTCTTTATT